CGGGAAGAAAAAGTTAAAAATGTTTCACTTACCAGTAAATTGAGTCCCTTTCTTCCCTAGTACAGCTAAATTTGTCCTGTTCTTTTCATCAGTTATTTTTCCCTTTGCACTGGACTAACATGAAAGCCTTTTAGTATTAGGGGGAGTATGGCTTGAGTTTATTTTTATAGACGCACTGGTTTCTTGAGTATTAGCCTTTCTCCAGGCAACAGGTCCAACTTCACTCTACCATGGGGGGAAAGAAGAATGTAAGTGGCAAATGTTACTGGTAAGAGGTCCCACCCCCCCCCCAATAAAACCCCAGTCTCTTGATGTGCGATGGAGACTTAGATGAACATATCTGGAGAACTCTGATTGCTCAGAGTTTGTTTCCTTTGCTCTCAGTATTCCAGAATATTGGGAAATCTCCAGGCTGTCATTGAAATAAGATCGCTTTTCTGTGTCTTCAAACACCTACAAGCAAGGGAAAACTTGAACATTGAAACAGCTGTGATCATATTCCTAGCAGCCCCATAAATTATTGTAGTATCCTTTAAAAAACAAACAAACAAAAAAACCAAACAAGTAATTGCTGAGAGTTCTGTTGCTCTTGGATCCTCAAAACAAAGATTACCTTGCCAAGTATTCTCCTATGAAAGCCAGTTTCAGGAGTGACCTGATAATTCCAAGTTGGGCATCTAGATGCTGAACTGATTTACTGTTCTCCCTGAGGAATGGTATAGACTAGCTATTTTAAAAACATGCTGATGGAGTGATATTATAGCTTTAGTACCACAAGGAGTTATCTACAAGATCTGAAGCTGCTAATAAGGATTGAATGGGACATGAATATTAAAAGGAAACCCAACTGTCTAGCTGTTTACTCTCACTGATGTGCAACAGCATTTGAGCTGGAAAATGAATACTTGCCCCATTATTTTTATGCTATTTCTTTCAGAGTGTATGTATTTTCTGTACTGCTAGATTTATAAAACTTCAGAAGATGCATGTTTACTTACGTGGCTTTAGTCCATCTTAAGTAGTAAAGAAGCTAACAGAGCTTAATATAATTTGTTTAGGACCTGTGTCAGAAGTGGCTACCCGATTGGTGGGCCATTTCTATTTTATGGTGCTTTTGGTGATGCATAATGGTACATTATTTCAATAAATGTGGTTTTTCACCAAGGATGTGTTTTTAGCCAATATTATGTTATGACTGTTAAGGTAGATGCAGATATTTTAGTGGTGGCGTTTTCTGAGCCTAAATAAGAGTCCTACAGCACTGAATTAGCATAAATTTCAGAATTCAAATAATATTTAGCTGTCGGAGGACTTATTTTTATTTGTAGAAAAAACATTTTATGTTAGTAATACCTTCAGTTAAATGAGTACTTTTTTAAATCTATATGATGTGAAACATGTACAGTTAAAAAAATAAATAAATAAAAATTAGAAAATACCTGAAAGTGAAATTCAGAGTTAGCAGTTCTATCATGAACTCCAAAATAAGTCTCTGGTTTAGCTAATGTAATGTTGTTTTCTGTGAATAAAGTTGCTGATTTTTACACACAACTTTTTTTTTATAGCCCTACCTGAGCCCATCCTTCCGTCACTCCAAAAAAATTACCCTGTAAGTATTTTTAGAAGTTATTGTTTCATCATATGATGTGTATAAAGATGTGATATTTAAATATCAGTTTTGGGTAAAATTAAGAATATTCTATAGCCATAGTGATTAGACACTAACAGTTATTCATGTCTGAAAGCTTATTTACTAATTCTGACCATTGCTTAATACACCATTTCAGTTACTTAAGAAAATGTTTTGCATAGAATCAAAAAATATTACACAAGGGAGCTGTACACCTATCTCACTATGTACTGAGCTGAAAAATTGTTTCATATACAGAATACTACTTCAGAAATGCTTTCATTTCAGAATTGGTTGCCATCCTGTCAGCAGCAAGAGAGACCAGGGATTGAGCCAACTGCATATGTGTTGAGCCACTTGGATCCTTTTCTTTGCTCATATTTCTAGACTAGCAAGGAACAAACAGTGTCCATTTAATATAGGGTTTCTTATGAGACTTCTCTTGAAATTAGGTTTGTTTCACAAAGGGAAATGTGCTTCTCAATATTTTCTTTATGTATCCAAACACCATTCCATTGCTTTCCATGGGACTACATACACATAAGGGTCCAGTTACTGAAGGATCAGGGCCATAATTGATAGAGCCTTAACCTGAGTTGAATGCTTCCTAGAAATAGTAGCTACCTCTTTATAGATATTTTGGGGTAGGAGAGGGAATAAGGAAAGAAAAATGGCCAAGTAGATATATTTTGGACTTAAATTGTTGAGAGAGCTTTACTACTTCTCATGGATCACTCATTTCAAATTTCTTCTTTGTATCTGTCCCTTCCACTAATCACTCCCAAATTTCTTTCAACTGTAGTTTCTTATCTTATGTCCATCCTATTTTTCTCTCTTTGCTTTAGCATGTTAATAATGGTAGCTAGCTGCTCTTACTATATTGCAAGGGTTGTCAACCAGGGGTACTTGAGAAGGCTCTAGGGCAGAGGTGGGCAATTATTTCAGACAGAGGGCCGCTTATTGAGTTTTAGCAAGCCATCGAGGGCTGCATGAGAGGCAGTGAGGGGCATATAAATATTAATTATCTAATTTTTTTTTTTTAGGGGCCCTGCCTGGCCCACCCCTGCTCTAGGGGGTATGTGCTGGCAGGCAGGGACAGAACGCTGTCATGCACCAACCCGTGCTGCCACTGCTCTGCATTTGGTCGTGTGCCATTTTCCCCCCCCCCCCCCACCTCACCGTCGGCCTATGCACCAACCCCACGTCTGGCTATGCACAATCTGCTCTGGCCGCCAAAAAGATTGAAAACCCCTGCTGTAGTGAATCACTATGTTAGGAAATCATTCTTCCTTCTTACCTTGTTGAAAAACAGTATCAGTCTATTTGGTTTTCATTTCTTCAAGAAGCACATTTTTGGTGTTGCACTTTGAAACTACTTGTGTTTAGAGGTGCACCGATACATCAGTCCATATTGTATGGGCATTGATAGAAGGAAAATTGACATTATTGGCAGTTGACATTGTGGTGCTACGTGCATGCACATGGCCAGCCCAGCAGCTTGGAGAGCAGCATCTGGTTGGTAAGTGTATTGGGGGGAAGGAAGGGTGCAGGGAAGAGAGTGGGGGGGGATATTGAGGCCCCTATGGTGAGGGAAGGAGTGGGGCTGGATGCAGGATGGAGCTGCTCCTACTGCTAGGGGGGCAGCTCCTGCTACTGTATGCACCCCTGGCAGAGCCATGGGGGGCACATGCTCCCCGGATCTGTGCACGGGTTGTGGGCAGGCTGGGACTGGGGGTAGCACCAAGCTCTTCCTGGTGAGGGGGTTGGGCCAAGGCTGTACTCAAGGCGAGCGGCAGCATCAGCACTAGGATGGCAGCAGCCCACCTTCACCTTGTGCACAGATCCGTGGGGGCACATGCCCCCCATGGTTCCCCCAGGAGTGCGTGCAGCAGCAGGAGCCACCCCCTAGATGAGCCACTTGCAGCTTTGTCCCATGCCAAGCCCTAGCCTTCCTCCCTTACCTCAGGCATCTCGATCACCGCCCCCACCCTTTTCCCTCCTCCCACCTCTTCCCCCCTCCCCTCCCCCCCCAGACTTACCAGCCAGATGCTGCTCTCCAAGCTGCCAGGCTACATGTCGGCAGTCAGATCGGTATCAGTTGGTATGGCTCGTTAATAATCAGCCATCAGTAACAGCCCAAAAAATCTTTATTGGTGAACCCCTACTTGTGTTACAAATGTATTTTAAGTCTGAATGTTTAAAAGGCAACTGGACTGCCTTCAGACTTCAGCACTTTATGCCACTTAACCGGAGTTCACTCACATGGCAGTATTTAAGTATTATGTATGGCATATATTTTTGAAATTCTCACCAACTCCCACAGTTTCTTCTTTTTCTTGTAAGAAAAAATAGTGTCAATGTGACTAGTTTATTTTAACCATCTATTTACCATCAATCAAAACACTTTACAAATATAAATCAGTGTAATTAATAAAAGAAGACTGTCATGCCATAGGCTGAAAAGGGTGGTGAACTTCTATGAAATGCAAGAATTCTGTTGTGGACTTTCAATGTGGCAAAACTGCTGGTTTCCATGGGGGGAAAAGTATATTACGGGCAGAGATGTAATGAGCAGGGTTTGTACCCTGGGCAACCCCAAACCCTGCAGGAAAGTTAGGGTGGGTGTGGGGAAAGGTGCTGCTGAATGCTAGGGTGGAGGGGAAGGTCAGGAAGGAGGAACAGGAGTCTTCTCTATGCTGAGGACTCAGAAACAGTCTCAGGATGCTACAGCTGCAGTATGTTCTGCACACCCCTGCTGTTGCTCCTGTGGCAGCAACATGGTGTCTGTGCACCTGGCTGCTGCTGCAAAAGCACTGTTATGGGGCTGCTTCTGTTGCCAGGGTGCAGACTTCACGGGGTGGGGGTGCAATTCTGGTGTCCCTACTAAGTTGGTGCCCAGGGCTAGTGTCCTGCTCATCCAATCCAAGTTATGCTGCTGAATGTAGGAATCTGCTTTGACCTGATTATGGGTGTTTTTTGTTTGTCTGTTTTTTGGATGGGTACCTTTTTTGTTTGACACCGGCATTATAGAGGTTGTATGCTTAGTATATTTTTAGCACTTAATCTCTTTTTAAATATTGTAAACTCAAACAATATATGTTACTACAATAGTCTAATCAAAATCAGGCAGTAAGGTAATAGAAATGGCTTTTGTAATATGCCAGAAAATTCCAAATGCATTGTTGCCCCCCTTTCTCCACTAGGAATAATGGTTATTTAAGTATTAATGATTTTTAAACTATATTTAACTGGATAACTAAAACCCAAATAAATTAAAACAAAAAAAAAGAAATAACCCCAAAAACATTTACTTGTAGTTTAACATGTTCAGGTGCACTTCACATTACTATAATCAATTAATACTGCATTGACACAAATCCAGCATGACATTTTTTTAAATTTAAAAGCCCTCCCCCTGCCCCAATACTTTAAATTCTAGACATGAAAAAGTGCGAGAGGAATTGAGTGGCCTGGCCCCTGCCCCCTTGCTGTTTGTTCCTTCCCCCCTTTCTTCCTACCCCACCCCCAACGTAGTGCCTGCACCCCTTTGGCACCTTTTCCCTTGCACCTTGCCCCCTTCCACTTAGCCTGCGTTGCAGCCCTGTCTCCAGCTCAGGGCACAGAGTCATTCTGCTGCCCCCTCTCTCCCCTCTTCCCTTCCCCAGCAGCAGTGGTAATGGCTGCAGTTCCAGCCCCTGTTCCTCCTCCAACCCAGGGCCAGAGCTGCTGCCACCCTAACCACTGCTGCATGGCTGGAAGGGGGCTGGAGTGATCTGTGCTCCATGACTGTAGCTGGAGCAGTGACAGAGGCTAAGGGGTAGGGAGACAAGCAGCACAGGGACAGGTCAGAAATTTCAGAGATGCAGGTGGTTTGGGGGAAGCAGTGACTGTGGCTCCAACTTCGACCCCAAACCAGATTAGAGCTGGAGTTGGAGCCTCAGCAGCCACTTGCCCTTCCACATGTACTTGAATCCAAGATGAGGCTTTTCTGCCATGTTGGTGGGTGGGGGGTTGCTTATCTTAGATTCAAGTTTAATATGGTAAATAATAATAATACTGTAAGTGTTTATTGACTTAGTCTGTGAGATGCCTCTCTGCCCTGCCTTTTGCCTACCTCTAGATTGCCTCTTAACACTAAATAGAAGTTCTACTTACAGAAACATGAGTATCTAAAGAAATCCATTTAAGAAATCTGTGGTTATTTTCAGTTGCCCATAACCATACATATCCACATTTCTAATATTGCATAAAAAACAGCATATTCCATTCCAGTAGAGATTCACACCTATTTACAATCCAGTTGTTTAAATCAAATACATATCTGTTGAAATTGAACTGCCAGCTAAAAAGAAACTCTGAAGTTCTCATCTCTGAAAATCCAGGTTAGCATACTTTCCTCTTCAGTAAAAAACATTTTAGTGCTTATGATAGCAAGTGGATCTCTTTCTCCCAGTTAAAAATATAATAAAACCAGAAAATAACAATTTGGATGCTAAATTTCAGAACTACTGAGAAGAAAGCACCATATTGTTGTGTCTGTGCAATGTATTGTATCCATATTATCTTCTGTTCAGCATGACAGCATGATGTTATCTACTTGGCATTTGGAGCCATAAATTCTATAAGGCAGGGGTATCAAAGATCTGGCCTCTGGATCCATTTCACCTGGTGTGCAGGGCTCCTGGAGGGGTTGGGAATTAGTGGGGAGGTTCTATAGCTAAATATCTCTTTATAGAGCCCCAGTGGCAGTGTGTGTCAGGTGGCAGGAGGGCAAGTAGTGCCTGCCTTAATTCCTACACTGCCACTGCTCCCTTTCCCCCCCGCTGCCATCAGGTCTGGATCTGGCCTATGAGGAGCCCTGTAGTCCAGATTCAGCCCAGGAGCCAGAGGTGGCTCCAAGGTATGACCCAGAGAGTATTAATAGATGGAACTGTGTCAACATGGTGGAAAGGGACCAGTGGCATCCCTCAGGGTTCAGT